AGTACACCTCCATGAGCCGATTTTGGTAGGACATTGAGGAAAGGTTCACTCACCTAAATGTACCTCAGAACCTATGCAGCAGGAGGAAGTCTTTTCTGGGGGACACTTCTGCCTTTTTGAAATCCAAGGAGGCACAAACACTTGTTTACACCTGCTACAGGGAAAACCTGTAGCAGAAGAGTATGGCTTGATGACTTTGTAGGATCTGGACACCTGGGGATAGGTCCTCTTTTGGCTGACATGTTCCTAGAGATGCTTTTAAGCTCATGGGGGCTGTAGCAACTCCCATCTGGAGACCGGTATCCACACAAGTCAGAAGATACTGTACATTGAGAGCACACCACAGATCTTAAAATTTGTGTCTAAAAAATGTATTAAAGTGCAACTCTATCCAAAGTTGTTCAGATTTGGCAGTTTTCCCTACAGCACTTCTAGGGCTGCAGACAGTTCCTATCCCTCTTCTACAGCCTATTACCAGTTGTTGCTCACTCCCCACTTGGACTGCTTTTACATCTTCCAGTATCTGGATTCTTGTGTTCCACAAAGCACAAGACAATAAGTACAAAAATATTTTCTAAGTTCTTTTTCTTGAAGTCCATTGAGAGACATCAGTCCCATCCTGCTGTGTTTATGTTCATGCTCATGCTCTTGGTCCTGTTTGATACAGAGTGAGGCATCCTGGGTAGAGAAGGGGTTATCCTGGGGCTGACCTACAATATTTTTTGTTTGCCAGTGTCCAATCCTGCTGAAGGCAGCAATACAACTAGACAGTACCTGAATTATCCCTCAAAAGATGAGAAAGAAATGCAACTTATGTTTAAATAGTTCTTTTCCTCTGTATTATGATCTGTACAATTCCTGGATAGAAGGAGATCTTACAATTGTCCAGTCTGGTTCCTCCAGTTGTGTTCCATCTTGGTGTGTTACTAATACATCATGTTATAGACTAAAATATAAAGCATGGGATCTCTATGTCCTCCAACATGTGGGGCCCATAGTGCACCCAATGGCTTTTTTTTGCTTAAAGAGTGTGTTGGTAATATGACTTTTTGCTTTCAGTCTTATTCAGGAATTCTTTAGTTACCCATGCTATTCCTCTTGCTATCTCATCTACTAGTACACGTGCACAGAGATTGTTGTAATCCTTCAGTATCTGGACTCCTCTGTCAGTCAATGGACTCCAAAAAAGAGAAGTACAAAAAGACTATTTTCAGCTTGTGAGACCAGCTGTGACTGCAAATTTCATCCATAGGACAACTTGCTGGTGAATTCTTGTATAATTAACAGTCAGATAAAGACATTATATATGACAGGAAAGAAATAGAGATGTTCAGTAAATAGAATATGTAATATTAAAATGGAATAAGAAATATTACAAATTAAAGTGGAACTACACTGCATCGGAGCACTGCAAAAGTCATTGAATTAATTTTTGATATTCAAAGCAAACTCATCTACCCATCCATGTCTCCATGCTTTGTTTTGCTGAGGAATCACTTTGGAAAACACCCCCGAGCATTTCTGGCAATGGCCATCCTAAGTAAAGGCAGATAATTCATGTACCATCTACTTCCTGGAATCCATCTACCCTTAGCTCAGGTACTCCTTCCCTCCTGAACACTCCTGGGATGAATATATAGTTTGCCTTGGCATGGAAACCAGGAAGTAACTGAAGAGATGTGTAAAAAAAAAAGTTTAACACAAGTAAACATAATATAAGTTCCTATCTATTTGCTGGTACTAGCAGCATAAGAATTAAAAATAGTTAATGTTGATTGAGAGAGCAAAGCTCCCCTTCAAGACAACAATTTTTTTTTTTAGAACAAATGAAATATCACATATATAATTTAAAATAAATCTCTGAGAAAACCTTGTCTATCTAGTAGGGAAGGGTTAGATCCTCTATCAAGTTTATCAATTCTGCCTGTATCCCCATTGGGAAGATTCATCCCTCTGCCTGTACATGTGACTATTCTCTAGAATTAAAAGTTAGGTGAAATCCAAAAATGTAATGTCTCTAGAAGAAGAGGTGAGGGAAATCTTCCTGTTGTGCATCTAGGACAGAATGTGAAGGGAAACTGCCAGGGGGTTAAACCCTTCCCTACTTTACTGAAAACTAAAGGGCTTGGGCTAAATATACAATTTGACCATTCTATTTTTCAAATGTGATTGATCTGGAAATGCAAGTTAATTAGTGCAAATGTCCTGTACAGAACACTCAAGAAACTCATTGTATATAGGCGTTCAATTTATAAACAGTTATTGATGCAAATTAGAAAAATGTACAAGAAAATTATTCATGGACATTTATTTTAGGCATGGAATGATGCATGCTATAGAACATATGCAAACTTGGAAAGAACAGAATTCAAAATCCACAGCACATGAATCTCACTGTTATGTAGATGAGTTATTTTAGTTTAAGTTCTCTAATTGTTTCTTTAGTAATAATCCTTTGTCTTTCAGATCAGGCCTGCTGTCCATTTCCATTGTAGATAAAGAAATAATTAGCAAATTTCTGTTTTCTACTGTAAGACTTTCCCACTGTTTTGAATCTGGAAAACAAATTTATGAATAAAAAAGAAAAATAAGTAAGAAGTTGTACAAATTAAAAATTTGGAAGGGATTGGACAGATTTTGCTTCAATAGCAGAAAGTTTCAGGTAGGGGTAAGAAGCATGGGAACCAAATGCACAAATTTATGTCAACACACAAAAATGATTAGATGCGGATAACATGCAGTGATTTACTTATCAAGCTAAAACAGTATAAAGCTTTTAAACTGACTCCATAAAATACGGGCATGTACAGGTACTTTGGGCGCTCCAATATGCCAGTTTCAACATTTTATGATGAAGTCAAGTCCTGGCCTACCCCCTCCCACACCTTCACACTTGCTACTGAGATTATTGATCAAAGTAGTAAGCCAATATGGAGAAGCAGGATATACTGTATGTGTAAAGTGCCTTGCATTTTAGGGCTCTTAAAGTGCTGGTTATAACGACTTAAATGCAAACACCCAGTGAAAATCATGAGAGGGAGCAGCTCCTTCAGAAGTCTTCAGGAAGCCAGCTTTCAAGAGCAGTAAGAGAATGGCGACTTTAGGCTGGGGATCTCTGAAAGTATGACAGTGACATACTGACAGTACGGATCTGGCGTAATTACAATTCAATATTTGGACTTGGCAATTCACTTCATCCTTTAAACCATTCCTGTCTTTTATTCAGTACATTTTTAGCAAAGTATATTTTTACACTTCTACTCTACAGCTAAGGTCTGCTTTAAATAGTTTTAAGGGTTTGTGCATACCATCTGCATTGGGCAGTCCCAATATAAGGACAATGCAAATATTCTGGTTCACATTGGTGTGTGTTGGAGGAAAATGGAATGTGCTGCATTTTAGCGCAGCACAAATTTTTTTTCAAAAACATTACAACTCTAGGTTGCTTTTCTGACAATAATTACAAGTACTTATTCATACAACTGACTTACCTTCGAGTTTCTTTATTAGTAGTTCTAATACAGAAAGAGCTTCTGTTCTTATGGATGAATAACTCTTATTTTCTAACAAAAGTGAATAAAAAAACATTGATATTTGATAAAACATTAATATGGTACAATGATGTACATAATTTTACAACATAAAATATTAAAGAAATTTTTAGAGAACACATAAAGCACTATTTACATCTAAACGGACCAGATAATTCCAATGTAATCACAGAAAGATAGAAAAACTACGAAGGAAAAATATATTACTGGCCCCAAACTCTAATTGTTACATGCAGGTTGATTAATTAAAAACCATAGGGACTTGGGAAAAAATGTATTTTGACAAAAAAAACTATATATTTTTTTTTAGAGATGTGAATGCCATTGGTTTATATAAAATGTATTTTTTGTTAGACTAAGGGCCTCCCCAGGCCATTTTTGAGCTCTCTCACACTTTGAGTGACAATTACTCATGCAACACTGTACTCAATTGAACATTTTATTTTTTTAGTTTTATAAGCAAAAAAAAATAAAACAATTTGAAAAAAAATGAACACATTTTTTCCTAGTTTGTTATAAAAATTTGCAAAAAAATAATCCCTCTTGATATATTTAGGCCAAAATGTATTCTGCCACATTTCTTTTGTAAAAAAAAATAACCCAAATCAGTGTATATTAGTCTGTGTGAAGCCTGAAGACTATGGTATTTATACTTGAAAATTGATCAGTCCTAATGTACTTACTGATTGCTTATCTAATTTCTTGAGGCCTTAAAATGCCAGGACAGTACATATACTGTACCTCCAAAATGATCCCTTTTGGGAAAGTAGACATTCCAATATATTTAGTCAGAGGCATAATTAGTTTTTTTTTTCCAAGTAGTAATTTTTTGTCACAATTTTGTGGGAAATGAAATATATTATATATACATACATATACACTGCTCAAAAAAATTAAAGGAACACTTTGAAAACACATCAGATCTCAATGGGGAAAAATAACATGCTGGATATCTATACTGATATGGACTGGGTAACGTGTTAGGAACCTAAGGATGCCCCATCGTTTGATGGAAATGAAAATTATCAGCCTACAGAGGACTGAATTCAAAGACACCCCGAAAATTAAAGTGAACAAATGATTCAGCAGGCTTGTCCATTTTGCTGAAATATCATTGCAGCAACTCAATAGTAGTTTGTATGGACCCCACGTGCTTGTATGCATGCCTGCCAACATCAGGGCATGCTCCTAATTACCGTATTTTTCGCTCTATAAGACGTACTTTTTTTCCCCCCAAAAAAAGGGGGGAAAATGTCAGTGTGTCTTATGGAGCAGCCGGTCCGGTATTTCCGCCGCCGCCATGTCAGAATACCGGGCCGGCCGCTCCGCTCTCTCTCCTGCAGGACCTTACCTGTTCCTCTGTCCAGCGTGTACAGTCTTCCCGCGCCGGCTTCTGTGACAGCCGGGTGCCCACTGCGCATGCGCGAGAAGCGCTGCGCTTGGTGAATGGTCCGGCGACTTCTGGGACACGACAGGTTCCAGAAGGCGCCGGGCCATTTACAAAGCGCAGCGCTTCTCGCGCATGCGCAGTGGGCACCCGGCTGTCACAGAAGCTGGCGCGGGAAGAAGCCAGCGTGCCCACACTAAAGAAAGAACAACTTCAGTACCCGCTCCCCCTCCCTCCCCAAAGGTCCGCAGTCTCTGGTCGCCCCCTGTACTGTGTCCGCAGTCTCTGGTCGCCCCCTGTACTGTGTCCGCAGTCTCTGGTCGTCCCCTGTACTGTGTCCGCAGTCTCTGGTCGTCCCCTGTACTGTGTCCGCAGTCTCTGGTCGTCCCCTGTACTGTGTCCGCAGTCTCTGGTCGTCCCCTGTACTGTGTCCGCAGTCTCTGGTCGTCCCCTGTACTGTGTCCGCAGTCTCTGGTCGTCCCCTGTACTGTGTCCGCAGTCTCTGGTCGTCCCCTGTACTGTGTCCGCAGTCTCTGGTCGTCCCCTGTACTGTGTCCGCAGTCTCTGGTCGTCCCCTGTACTGTGTCCGCAGTCTCTTGTCGTCCCCTGTACTGTGTCCGCAGTCTCTTGTCGTCCCCTGTACTGTGTCCGCAGTCTCTGGTCGTCCCCTGTACTGTGTCCGCAGTCTCTGGTCGTCCCCTGTACTGTGTCCGCAGTCTCTGGTCGTCCCCTGTACTGTGTCCGCAGTCTCTGGTCATCGCCTGTACTGTGTCCGCAGTCTCTGGTCATCTCCTGTACTGTGTCCGCAGTCTCTGGTCATCTGGTCATCCTGTACTGTGTCCGCAGTCTCTGGTCATCTCCTGTACTGTGTCTGCAGTCCATTGGTTCAGAATATTTTTTTCTTGTTTTTCACCTCTAAAACCTAGGTGCGTTGGTTATGGTCAGGTGCGTCTTATGGTCAGGTGCGTCTTATGGAGCACGAAATACGGTAAGCAAAGGATGGTGTCCTGGGGTATTTCCTCCCAGATCTGGAGCAGGGCATCACTGAGCTGGCGTCGTCGGATAGATCGAAACATGATATCCCAGAGGTGTTCTATTGGATTTAGGTCAGGCGAGTGTGGGGGCCATTCAATGGTATCAATTCCTTCATCCTCCAAGAACTGCCTGCATACACTCGCCACATGAGGCCAGGCATTGTGATGCACCAGGAGGAACCCAGGACTCACTGCACCAGCGTAGGGTCTGACAATGGGTCCAAGGATTTCATCCCCATACCCTAATAGCAGTCAGGGTGCCGTTGTCTAGTCTGTAGAGGTCTGCGCATCCCTCCATGGATATGCTCCCCCAGACCATCACTGACCCAACCACCAAAACGGTCATGCTGAACGATGTTACAGGAAGCATAACATTTTCCACGGCGTATCCAGGCCCTTTCACGTCTGTCACATGCTCAGGGTGAACATGCTCTCATCTGTGAAAAGCATGAAATGCCAGTGGCAGACCTGCCAATTCTGGTATTTAATAGCAAATGCCAATCGAGCTCTATAGTGCCAAGCAGTGAGCACAGGGCCCACTAGAGAACGTAGGGCCCTCAGGCCACCCTCATGAAGTCTGTTTCTGATTGTTTGGTCAGAGACATTCACACCAGTGACCTGCTGGACGTAATTTTGTAGGGCTCTGGCAGTGCTCATCCTGCTTCTCCTTGCACAAAGGAGCAGATTCCGGCCCTGCTGATGGGTTAAGGATCATCTATGGTCTCCTACAGTAACTGCTTGTCTCCTGGAATCTCCTCCATGCTCTTGAGACTGTGCAGGGAGACAGAGCAAACCTTCTGGCAGTGGCACATATTGATGTGCCATCCTGGAGGAGTTGGACTGCCTGTGCAACCTCTGTAGGGTCCAGGTATAGCCTCATGCTACCAGTAGTGACACCAACTCTAGCCAAATGCAAAACTAGTGAAAACTCGTCAGAAAAGATGAGTAGGGGAAAAATGTCAGTGACCTCAACCTGTAAAACCATTCCTGTTTTAAGGGTCGTCTCATTGTTGCCCATCTAGTGCACCTGGTGTGTGCGTGTGAGATTATATATATATATATATATATATATATATACACATACACATATACATACAAACACATACAGTCAGGTCCATAAATATTGGGACATCGACACAATTCTAACATTTTTGGCTCTATACACCACCACAATGGATTTGAAAGTCAATGAACAAGATGTGCTTTAACTGCAGACTGTCAGCTTTAATTTGAGGGTATTTACATCCAAATCAGTGAACAGTGTAGCAATAACAACAGTTTGCATATGTGCCTACCACTTGTTAAGGGACCAAAAGTAATGGGACAGAATAATAATCATAAATCAAACTTTCACTTTTTAATACTTGGTTGCAAATCCTTTGCAGTCAATTACAGCCTGAAGTCTGGAACGCATAGACATCACCAGACGCTGGGTTTCATCCCTGGTGATGCTCTGCCAGGCCTCTACTGCAACTGTCTTCAGTTCCTGCTTGTTCTTGGGGCATTTTCCCTTCAGTTTTGTCTTCAGCAAGTGAAATGTATGCTCAATCGGATTCAGGTCAGGTGATTGACTTGGCCATTGCATAACATTCCACTTCTTTCCCTTAAAAAACTCTTTGGTTGCTTTTGCAGTCTGCTTTGGGTCATTGTCCATCTGCACTGTGAAGCATCCAATGAGTTCTGAAGCATTTGGCTGAATATGAGCAGATAATATTGCCCGAAACACTTCAGAATTCATCCTGCTGCTTTTGTCAGTAGTCACATCATCAATAAATACAAGAGAACCAGTTCCATTGGCAGCCATACATGCCCACGCCATGAAACTAACACCACCATGCTTCACTGATGAGGTGGTATGCTTAGGATCATAAGCAGTTCCTTTCCTTCTCCATACTCCTCTCTTCCCATCACTCTGGTACAAGTTGATGTTGGTCTCATCTGTCCATAGGATGTTGTTCCAGAACTGTGAAGGCTTTTTTAGATGTCGTTTGGCAAACTCTAATCTGGCCTTCCTGTTTTTGAGGCTCACCAATGGTTTACATCTTGTGGTGAACCCTCTGTATTCACTCTGGTTAAGTCTTCTCTTGATTGTTGACTTTTACACACATACACCTACCTCCTGGAGAGTGTTCTTGATCTGGCCAACTGTTGTGAAGGGTGTTTTCTTCACCAGGGAAAGAATTCTTCGGTCATCCACCACAGTTGTTTTCCGTGGTCTTCCGGGTCTTTTGGTGTTGCTGAGCTCACCGGTGCATTCCTTCTTTTTAAGAATGTTCCAAACAGTTGTTTTGGCCATGCCTAATGTTTTTGCTATCTCTCTGATGGGTTTGTTTTGTTTTTCAGCCTAATGATGGCTTGCTTCAGTGATAGTGACAGCTCTTTGGATCTCATCTTGAGAGTTGACAGCAACAGATTCCAAATGCAAATAGCACACTTAAAATGAACTCCGGACCTTTTATCTGCTCATTGTAATTGGGATAATGAGGGAATAACACACACCTGGCCATGGAACAGCTGAGAAGCCAATTGTCCCATTACTTTTGGTCCCTTAACAAGTGGGAGGCACATATACAAACTGTTGTAATTCCTACACCGTTCACCTGATTTGGATGTAAATACCCTCAAATTAAAGGTGACAGTCTGCAGTTAAAGCACATCTTGTTCATTGAAATTCAAATCCATTGGGGTGGTGTATAGAGCCAAAAGTGTTAGAATTGTGTCAATGTCCCAATATTTATGGACCTGACTGTATATACATACACACACAGCAACTCACAGAAGTGAGTACACCCCTCACATTTTTGTAAATATTTTTTATATCTTTTCATGCGACAACACTGAAGAAATGACACTTTGCTACAATGTAAAGTAGTGAGTGTACAGCTTGTATAACAGTGTAAATTTGCTGTCCCCTCAAAATAACTCAACACAGAGCCATTAATGTCTAAACCGCTGGCAACAAAAGTGAGTACATCCCTAAGTGAAAATGTCCAAATTGGGCCCAAGGTGTCAATATTTTGTGTGGCCACCATTATTTTCCAGCACTGCCTTAACCCTCTTGGGCATAGAGATCACCAGAGCTTCACAGGCTGCCACTGGAGTCCTCTTCCACTCCTCCATGACGACATCACAGAGCTGGTGGATGTTAGAGACCTTGCGCTCCTCCACCTTCCGTTTGAGGAGGCCCCACAGATGCTCAATAGGGTTTAGGTCTGGAGACATGCTTGGCCAGTCCATCACCTTTACCCTCAGCTTCTTTAGCAAGGCAGTGGTCATCTTGGAGGTGTGTTTGGGGTTGTTATGTTGGAATACTGCCTGTGGCCCAGTCTCCGGAGGGAGGGGATTATGCTCTGCTTCAGTATGTCACAGTACATGTTGGCATTCATGGTTCCCTCAATGAAATGTAGCTTCCCAGTGCCAGCAGCACTCATGCAGCCCCAGACCTTGACACTCCCACCACATGCTTGACTGTAGGCAAGACACACTAGTCTTTGTACTCCTCACCTGGTTTCAGACACACATGCTTGACACCATCTGAATCAAATAAGTTTATCTTGGTCTTTAGAAGAGGCTTCCTTCTGGGATGACAGCCATGCAGACTAATTTGATGCAGTGTGCAGCGTATGGTCTGAGATGACCCCCCACCCCTTCAACCTCTGCAGCAATGCTGGCAGCACTCATAAATCTATTTCCCAAAGGCAACCTCTGGATATGGCGCTGAGCATGTGTACTCAACTGCTTTGGTCGATTATGGTGAGGTCTGTTCTGAGTGGAACCTATCCTGTTAAACCGCTGTATGGTCTTGGCCACTGTGCTGCAGCTCAGTTTCAGGGTCTCAGCAATCATTTTATAGCCTTGGTTATAAACAATTTTTTTTTCAGCTCCTCAGAGTACTTTGCCATGAGGTGCCATGTTGAACTTCCAGTGACCAGTATGAGAGTGAGAGCGATAACACCAAATTTAAACACACCTGCTCCCCATTCACACCTGAGACCTTGTATCAGAGAACCCAAAAGCTCTCAAAAACATAGCCAAGGGCTCTCTACCTGTTGTGTGGAAGAGTAACTGCAAAGCCAGGGTTACACAAGCCATTTTCCAGGACTGGTTTTTCCACCACTTTATCCCAGAGATAGAGAAATATTGTTTGGAGAAAGATATCCCATTCAACATTCATTTGCTGCTTGACAATGCACCAGGTCACCCCCAATTCATGGATGACTTTCGTCCCAACGTAAAAGTAGTGCATCTGTCACCGAATACTAGTGCTCATCCAACCTGTGGACCAAGGAGTCAACTTTGTTTGGCGTGAGGCTTCAGCTGTCACCATGAATAGGGTTTGGAAGAACTTTTGCCTGCAGTTTGTTCATGAGGTTCGTGGACTTGAGAAGATGGGCAAGGAGTCCAAAGAGTCTTCAACAACTTAGTGACATTTAGAATGAAGCTGGAGCTAGATCTGCAAGAGGATGACTTCATTGAACTCCTTGCTGTGCAACATGTGGAGCTTACTAATGAAAACCTGATGGAATTAGAGGCCCAGCGAAAAGACAGAGAGAGCCAAGAGGAAGATGTAAATGAAGAACCAAAGAGATTCCCAACACAGGAAATGCAAAGGGGATTTTCTTTACTTGAAGAGGCACGGTTTGTTTTTGAGGACTCCAACGTAGAATGATACACAAAGGTTGCAGCAGCTGTTCAGAATGCCATCCAGTGCTACAGAGTCATTTATGATGAGAAAGAAGAAATACTACTGAAACATCACTGGATCATTATTTCCAGACGGTAGACAGAATTGAATCCATGAAAAAACCTGTGTCATCAACATCAGGTGT